CCCTTATCTGCTTTCCGGAGGGACCACTCTCTCCATGACTCCCTTGTTCGCTCCACACTCCCCTCCAGCCCCACCACACCCGGCACTTTTCCCTGCAACCACAGGAAGTGCTACACCTGTCCCCACACCTCCTCCCTCAACCCCATCCCAGGCCCCAAGAAGACTTTCCACATCAAGCAGATGTTCACCTGCACATCTGCTAATGTGGTATACTGCATCCGCTGTACCCGTTGTGGCCTCCTCTACATTGGGGAAACCAAGCGGAGGCTTGGGGACCACTTTGCAGAACACCTACGCTCGGTTCGCAATAAACAACTGCACCTCCCAGTCGCGAACCATTTCAACTCCTCCTCCCATTCCTCAGATGACATGTCCATCCTGGACCTCCTGCAGTGCCACAACGATGCCACCCGAAGGTTGCAGGAACAGCAACTCATATTCTGCTTGGGAACCCTGCAGCCCAATGGTATCAATGTGGATTTCACAAGCTTCAAAATCTCCCCTCCCCCTACCGCATCCCAAAACCAGCCCAGCTCGTTCCCGCCTCCCTAACCTGTTCTTCCTCCCACCTATCCCCTCCTCAAGCTGCACCCCCATTTCCTACCTACTAACCTCATCCCGCCCCCTTGACCTGTCCATCCTCCCTGGACTGACCTATCTCCTCCCTACCTCCCCACTTACACTCACCTTTACTGGCTCCATCCCCGCCTCTTTGACCTGTCTGTTTCCTCTCCACCTATCTTCTCCTCTATCCATCTTCTATCCGCCTCCCCCTCTCTCCCTATTTATTTCAGAACCCCCTTCCCCTCCCCCATTTCTGATGAAGGGTCTAGGCCCGAAACGTCAGCCTTCCTGCTCCTATGATGCTGCGTGGCCTGCTGTGTTCATCCAGCTCTACACCTTGTTATCTCAGATTTCCAGCATCTGCAGTTCCTACTATCTCTGATACAATTACACCTTTTGCTATGATGTTTTTAAGATGACAGGATAGATTGAAATGTGGTTAAAAGGCACACAGGATCCTGGGCTTTATAGATTGGCAGACAGAGTATAAAAGCAAACAAGTTATTATGAATCCTGATGAAATGCTGGTTTGGCTTCAACTGTGTTCAATTGTAGATACAGAACTTTGGCAAGTGTTTGAAGGCTTTAAGGTACAGAAATTTACAAGAATTATTCCAGAGATAAGGAACTTCAGTTTCAATTACCTGAATGGATTGGGGAAGCTGGTGTTGTTCTCCTGAGAGGAGAAGGTGAGGGATTTGCTAAAGGCATTCAAGATCATGACGGATCAGGCAAGATTAGACAGAGCGCATATATTTCCACTGTCAGAAAATCAAGAACCTAGGGGTACTATTTTAAGGCGAATGGAAAATTGAAAAAATCAAGGGTGGTGCGAGAAAAACTACCTGGTGAGTGGTTAATGCATTTTCTCAGTGTGGTGGAGAAAGATTCAATTCTGACTTTCAAAAGGGAGTTTGATAAGAGCCTGAAGTGAACATCCTTGCAGGGCTACAGGGTAACAATGGAGAGATGGGACTGGCTAAGTTATTCTTGCAGAAAGCTGGAACGGACTCCGCGGGATGAATGGCTTCCTTCCGTAATGTAACCATTTTGTAGGGTCATAACGTCCCAATCCTAAGGTACAGAATATTCTGGTCTAAATTTATAAGAGGACTGCCTGACTCGTTTACTCCTCAAATATTTCATCAAGATGACTAGTTTCCCATTCTGAATCTAAAGATTTTTTTCCAGAGTCTGCTTCTCTGCAGACGATCTATATTTTAAACTTTAAATATAAAGAATATTTTGAACGTTTGACAATTCGAAGTTATTAGACTCTGTTCGATCTATAATTGAGTCGATGATGGGGTTCATTTTCTTATCGTTGCAATAAATACTCTACAGAAGGGAATCCTTTGTGGTTGGCCCCAGATGGCGCACATAAAAAATAAGGCACAGATTCCGGGAAGGGGGCTTAATGGGTCAAGTGCGACCCCGCCAATCCATTTCGTTTCACCTTCTCTAACGTTCGGCACCATTTGTTCAGGTAGATACAAAAGCAATCAGAAAACAAACCCGCTTTCCCCTTACAATGGGGCGTCTGTTTTGATGAACCAGTAAATATAATCGAATGTAAACCTCTGTTCACATAGCACGGGGTAGAATGTCTGCTCACCTATATTTACAGAGACACGGACCGATGAATTAGCACACGCTGCCGATCAGTCCTGTTCATGTTGTCCATGCTGCAGGTTTCTGCACTGAGCTCTGTCTACCATCTACCTGCACTCAGCACCGTGGTTTTATCAGAATGCAAGTCGCACGGGGGTGGGGGGGATAGCTGGGATATCTGCGTCAGGAATGTTGCCAGGAGACCGCAAAAGGTATTTTGCAGCCAGTTGTTCCTCCCTGTTCCTTGTCTGTGGTGCAGACTCCTTTCTGTGCCTCCTCTATTCTTTGCCACCGACAGGGAATGGAACACCAGTTCTCTGGCTGGGTCCTAGTGCCGCCGAGTATTTACACTTCAACCTGTTCACTGAAATTGCCTATAAAACACTTACAAGTATTTGTAAAATATTGTTCCACTGCTTAATTGTAAAACAAGCTCATAAATTGTCAGCTTTTTGAAGTGTTCCTAATCAAAATTTATTAATTTAGCTCCTAAAATTTCCATAAGCCTCGTATTTTTACGTTACAGAACGGCACCACACCGTTATTAAACCGTACAAATCTTGTGTTCGATTCCACGCAAACTCCTGTTCACTTACTAACCCCTTCTTCGCTACTTCTCCAGCTCTACACAATGCTTGAATTCCTTTTCTAAGCCATCCACGACCCCATTACTCCTCCTTTGGAACGTCCTCAAGTCTCTCCCGAACCACTCACTCTTTTATATCGACCATACTTTCCTCTCCTTCTCTCACTGCTACACCGTCAATGTTTGAGCTACCCGTCTTTTCGATTACGGATCTGTCTCTATCATCAAATTCCCTTCGTGTGACAATAAAGCTCATTCAATTCAACTGATCTTGAAATTCTCCTTAAAACTTACCACAAATGCTGTTCTTATCTGACATTTTCAAATATGGTCTTGCTTTTGCAAGGGCCACTCCAAGACCAGACAAAGGTTAGTTGTAGTGCCCAACTGTTGTATTATCAGGTTGATAAGGTGCAAACAATCCCATATATATTTTATCAGGTTAGGAGACCAAAGGTCTTCTATTGGGATGTCCCTATTTTCTTCCATGTTCTTTTGTGATAAAATTATTGTTTGGCCCTCTTGCCTTGCCACGTGCAAGGAGGTCATTTTGCTTATCATTCACCACTCTGTTCTGAAGAAGACTCATATCCAAATCAAAATGTTAACTGTTTGTTTATCCACAGGTGCTGCCAGACCTCCTGAGGTTCTGTGGCACTTTTTGTTTTATTTTCAGATCTCCAATATCTGCAGTACCTAGCTTTTATAATACTGTTGGTTTTCTTCCTTCCTGGTCCACCTGTACTGAAACTATCTTAAATTGTAACATTGTTGCCCTACCTGACAAGAGCTAATATAGAATGGGAATCAAACACAGCTGCTCAATAATTTATTGGACAGAACATTTACCAATTAAAATAAATGGAATGTGTTTTTCATATTATTGAATCTCACATTGATATATGATATTTTTCATGAATGAAAGACGTTCTTTTTTAATTAATCCTGCTGTGATCATTCTGACTCTGAAGCTAAATGTGATAACCCTCACCTATTTACACTCTTGTATCTCTGATCATAGCTAGAACATCTCCAGTAATAGCTTCTTTATCCATCATTTAGCATAGTAACCCACATACAGTTACCTCTGGCTCATCAATGATCTATTCTTGCCTTCTCCTTCTCTTCAGCTACATTATACCTTTGTGACATCTTGCACAGACATAGGGCAGCTTCCACATATATGCTGATGACATCCAGTTCTACCTCTTCAACACATTCCTTGTCCTCTGTACAGCCTTGGTATTTTCAAGTTTATCTGACTCATGGTCTTACATGGTCTGTAATTTCCTTAATGAAGCATTCATCTGCAGTCCATGTTTTAGCCTCCACACTCTTGACCTCAATTGCTAGTCTGGCCACTATCTCAGCTTTATCCAAACTGTTTGTAATCTTGGTGTTTTATTTGACTATGAGCTGAGCTTTCAATGTTATTATCTGTTCCATCTTAAAAACTTCCATATTTGTCGCATAACCTACCATTGCATTGACTGCATCTGAAACCATCAAGCTCACCTTTACTACTCCCTGATTTGACTGAACCAATGGGCTTCTCGGCAGCTTTTTATCCTGTACTTACTGTAAGCATCATTTTAGCCAAACCCTACTGCCATTTCTTTGTTGTTTTAATCTTACATGAACTTTTGCTTATGACAGCTGATTGAATTGTTCAGCATTTTTTGTCATTTTGTTTATTCTTGAAAGTTTTGTTCCAGGTGCTTGCTGGAAAATCTATTATTACTGCAATCAAAATGGTGAAAAGGGAAATTTGAATGTTATTTCTCCATTTTCATATTACTTGAAGGAGACCAAAAGGATGAAAGATTGATGCAAAATTGGTTTGGTTGCACCAGACTTAGTGGGCCTGTACCTGCCCTGTGTGTGCAGTTATGTTAATAGGCCCAGGGATGTATAGGTAGAAATGTCAAAAGAAATTGCATTTGCATTTTACAAGGGATATGAAAACATGCACCTCTGCTCATCTGATCATCATACGCAATGCGCAATAGGTCAAGTAACCACAGCTTATTTTTATGCCTTAGTTTTGCCAAATGGGACATCAGTAGCATTGGTCATTCTAAACTACACAGAATAATCAAGCAGTTCACTGATGCATCATTCATCAGCGAAAATTCACCCCCCATATAATCTGATTCAATTCTCTAAATGTGATTTGTAGATATAACTAGTTCTTTTGTGGCTCAGTGTTTTCCTTTTAATGTTAATAATATTTTGTGTGCTGTATTTTGCAATCTTGTGTTGCTGCTAGATGTTTGTCCAGCCAGAAGAATGGTCAACTATAGACTAGAATCATATATTCCTGTACATCAGTGTACTGGGCCTTAAAATAACAAGGTCCTAGAATTAAAGTGCATGGACTGCTGAAGCAGATTATCTGGCCTAGTTGAGGGATGAACACTAGCTAGGTCCCAGGAGGACTCCCGTATACTTCTTCATGGGATTGTAGGTCAGGAGGGAAACGTGATGGGTGAGAATGGTGTGATGCAGAGTAAATGATAGATGCAGTGTTTGAAGAGTTAAATTTTTGGAGTATGTGAGGCCTGTTAAGGGAGGTTTGAAATAATCAAACCTGGTGTTGATAAAAGAAATACTATAGTCATCAACGGCTGAAATGCCTCGTGATTAAAGTAGGAGAAAGAATTACTTTAAATTGAGAGGAACATGGGATTGGAAACTTAGCTCGGTACCAAACATAACATGAAAGCTTTAAACAGACGGCTTCAAAATGAGACAATGTCTGGGAAAAAGGATGGAGTAAAAAGGGAGTTTTTGGCGGAGGCCGAAGACAATAGCTTTCATTTTTTTTAAAGTTTAACAGGAGGAAATTGCGAATCATCCAAGGCTGGAACTCGGATAACACAGGAAATTGAGAGGATGAAGGGAGTGTAGCTGTGCTTAAAATATTGAATAGGAGGAACCTGAATCCTTTCACATTATTGTGCATGTGGAGTGGTGGTCAGATTAAAAACCCCACTCATTTCGCGCAGTTAACAACTACACTCGAAAGAACAAAAGTCTTAACCTTCAGTACATTTCAAGGCTGTGAATCTTGCTGCCACCATGTGGTCATTTACGAGCCTTCACTTGAGAAAATGGGTGGAAAAATAATTCAGTGTGTGGATTGTATCTCGTCCATTGGGCATTATGCAAGTTATATACAGCAGTTCACTATTTGCTTTTTTTCCCCACCCACCGCTTTATTAAGCTAGCCTGCCCAACCCTAAGCTTCATGGAATTACGTTACTTGTTGTTCTGTATAGTTGCTGAAATAATTTTTGTAATTGGGTGAATGCAGCAGTCTGCTCTGTAGACTTACCAGAAGCAGAGAGCCTCTAAAATAAGTAACAAAAATGTAACATTTTTTCAGTTACGAAGAATGAACACCTTCTCATGCTGAACAAAAGCAGTCTGTGCTGCTGCCACTCAAGTATTTTTCTTCTAACAAATTCCCAAATCCTGAACATCTTCCAAACTAGTCATTATGCAGTTGACATCCAAGAGGCATCCAATAATGTGTCAGCCCAGAACCAGTGAGCAGTGGATGCCGATTTGAGCTGTGCAATTTGCTGGCTTCCTTTGCATGAAACCTAGGTCGCAGGACATTGATCAGCAAAACCATCACCTTCACCATGATAAAGCACAGCAGCATCAGACATGACACACAGGACTTAATTTGCAACTGCTTTTCATGCAACTGAGTTAGGTGAAGTTATTGTTCATTGACTGTAAATGTGTCAACACTGGAAAGGAAGCAATTCCCATTTATTCTCAATGTCAAATGCAGCTTCTTGGTTTATTTTTTTCCTTAGCTTTTACTGTTATGCAATAATAATTAACATTCCAAACTATTGGAAGCCTTCACCATATCTGATTTTATGCTAGAATGTGCATTAGGAAAAGAATAGCAAACCCTCAGACTGGGCTGTAACATTGTGTGGTATTAAAAAATGCTAGTCTCTCTAGTTTAATTCTTGTAACTACAGCTAAAATGATAGTTGATCAGACAGGTGATGATGTAAAATTGTAATATATTTGTAAATGTGAGATTCTATGTGTAATAAAGAGTGAACCGTTGTTCCTTTTGGTCCCACTACATCTAAGTTTAGACCTGGGATCTGCAACTTGGAGTGGAGGGAGCCTGCTCGATAGTGGGCCCTGTTAGCCTTGGAACTTTTGGGCAGATGACTTCAAGGCATTTATGGCTAGAGGGATCAGACATACTGAGATTATCCTGGCCTAATGCAGTGTCACCATTCTCAGTTTGAATTTTCACAGAACTGGCAATCACAGGCAGAGTGAATGAGAAGTGGATGGACACCTCTTAGGTATCCTGAAGGGTGACTTCTACATCCCAGTATATGGTTCCTTTTCCAGTTGTGCGTCTACCAGAATGACACTGTCTCTTTGTGAGGAAACAGCACGTGGGGTCAAGTTCCCTCTTCCCACTGTTACCTTGCTATTGTTATTGACTACAAATGGCTATAGCGATGAAGTGCATTTTTGTAGCCAATGAGCTTTCTGTTGGACCTGGCTGTCCGTGACAGCTGCCAAACTGTCCGTGGAGACAGCCAGACACACGTGTACCAATCCATCATGGCTTTGGTGGACTT